TCCTCATCATAGAATATACTAGTGATACAGGGAGAACAACAGAGGTTTAATTAATTAATTCAAATTTCTTGAGTGTTGTTGGAGCTGCACTCATTCAGGTAAGTGAGAAGTATTCCCATCACACTCTTCATTTGTGGCTTGTATTTGGCAGATATGCTTTGGGAAATTACTCACCTCTGATTTGCTCTTACAGCTGTTTTATGTATATGGCAAGTCCGGTTCAGTTTCTAATCCAGTTCAGTTTCTCGAAAAGTGACATCCTGCACCCACCCAGACATGTGGAGAGTAATCCATCTTACTCCTGACTTCTCTTGTAAATGGTGACAGGTATTACAGAGGTAGGATGTAAGTTACACACCGCAGAATTCCTAGCCTCTGACCTGCCCTTGTAGCCACAGTATTTATATGGCTATTCCAGTTCAGTTTCTAGCCAATGGTAAACCCTGCTAACAGTCATTACCTGGCACGTATATGGCTCAAATATTACTTGTCACTTAGCAGCCCAAAGCTGGATGTTGTTTAGATCTTGCTGCATATATGCACAGATTGCTTCAGTATCTGAGGAGTTATGAATGGTGTTGAACATCGTGCAATCATTGGTGAACATCCCCACTTCTGACATTATGGTAGAAAAAAGGTCATTGATGAAGCAGCTGAAGATAGTTAGGCCTTAGACATCACCCTGAGGAACTCCTGCAATGACATCTATGGACTAAGATATCTGGTTTTCAACAACAACAACCAACTTTCTTTGTGGTAGGTATGACTACAACTAGTGGAGAGATTTTCCAGTGATTCCCATTGACTTGAGTAATGGTGGGCCTCCTGGATGCCACACTCAGTTAAACATAGCCTTGATGTCAAAGGCAGTTACTCTCACCCTGGCATTCAGCTCTTTTGTCTATGTTATAACCAAGGTTATAATGAGGTCAGGTGCTGCCTGGTGATACTTTCCATCATTTTACTGATGATCAAGAGTCGACTGATGGTGTGGTAATTAGCTGAGTTGGCTTTATCCTGTTTTTTGTGTACAGAACACATCTCAGCAATTTTCCGCATTACTGAGTAAATGCTAGTGTTGTAGCTGTACTGAACAGCTTGGTTCAGATGTGGCAAGTTCTGGAGCACATGTTTTCAGGACTACTGCCGGAATGTTGTCAAGGTCCAGAACCCTACCAGTATGTAGTGCCTTAAGTCATTTCTTGATATCACACAGATTGAATTTAATTGGCTGAAGACTGGCATCTCTGACGCTCAGAACCTTGGCACTTCTAGGTAAAGTTTTTTGCAAATGCCTTATATTTTGATTTGATGACCATACTCCCCTCTCATTGAAGATGGGGATGTTCATGGAGTCTCCGCCTTGAGTGAGTTGACTGTCCAATACCATTCTTGACTCGATGTGGTAGGACACTAGAGTTTAGATCTGATCCATTGGTTGTGGAATTGATTTGTTCTATTACTTGCTGCTTATGCTGTTTGGCATACAAGTAGTATTTTTGGTAGCTTCACCAGATTTACCCCTCATTTTTAAGTTTGCCTGATACCGGTCCTGGCATGCCCTCCTGCACTCTTCATTGAATAAGTGTTTATTCCTGCACAATGGCAATATTTGAGTAGGGTACATGGCAGACTTTGAGGATGCAGATTGTGTTGAGTACAATTCTCCTGATGGTTATGGCCCACACAACTTCAAAGATGCCCATTCTTGAAGCTTCAAGTACATCCCATTGAGCAAAGTGACAATGCTACAAAATACAATATAAGGTTTCTCAACACAAAGACTTCATCTCCACAAGGACGGTGCGGTGGTCACTCTTACTGATGCTCTCATGGACAAATGCATCTGCAGCAGGCTGCTTCGTGAAGATGTGGACAAGCATGTTTTTTCCTTTTATTGGTTCTCTTACCATCTGCTACAGACCCAGTTCTAAGAATGATGTCCTCCAGGACTCAACCAGGTACTTTGCCAAACAATACACTGAAAATTATTTAGTTGATTTCTCATCTCAGAATGCTGAAAACATGCGCCCAAGCTGTAGCCTCTTCCCAGAAGTGCAGGATTTAATATTTAACTAGTCTTTAATTTAATTTGAATGGTAACATAAAAACATAAGGGATAGGACAGGAACAGATGACATGGCCAGTACAGCATGCTATCTCAACCAATTAAATGATTGTCCCCTTATCCTAGGATTGTACTGTTCTCTCAATTCTACAGATAGAGGAGACAACCACTGCTACTACCTTTTCAAGTCCTTGCAGATTCTTCTGTATTTAAATGAGATCACCTCTCATACACCAGAGTATATAGACCGAATTTAGTCAGCCTCTGATTACAGGTTAACCCTCTCATCCCAGTGATAATCTAGTGAAGCTTCCCTGTACCTACTCCAATATTCCTTAAATATAGAGATGTAAACTGTACACAGTAGTCCAGGTGTGGGATCACCAAAGACCTATATAATTGTAGTAAGTCCATTTAATTCTTGTACTCCAATCCCCTTGCAATAATGGTAAATGTGCCATTTGCGTTCTTCATTGATTGCTATACCTGAATGCAACTTTCTGCATTCCTTGTACAAACACAGCCACGTCCCTCTGAACATCAATAGTTATAAGTTTCACTCCTGTTTCAAAAACAGCTTTTCCCTTTTTCAACTGAATTGAATAAACTCTCACTTCCCCACATCACACACCATCACTTTACCTGATGAAGGGGCAACACTCCGAAAGCTTGTGATTTCAAATAAACCTGTTGGGCTATAACCCGGTGTTGTCTGACTCCACTAGTTAGTCTGCCAGCTTAAAATTACTCTGTTTATGCCTACTGTTTGCTTCATGTGTGTTAATCTATCTTGTATCCATGCTCAAATATCACTCCCAACTCCCTTAAGCACAGCTGATCTGCATTCAACAACAACTGCATTCTCCTCACCAACAATACCTCTTCGTTATGCTGAGTTTTGGGAGATATTCCGAAAAATACAGAGTGGAGTTTAAAGATGACTGGAGTTTAGAGATTATACTAACTGGAAACACTACAAGTACGTAGTATAGGCCGTCAGCTGATCAAGTCATTGTCCTGACTCTTCCTCTTAATATTTAAAACCCTAATTTATTCACCTATAATGTGACTTTTCTTTTATTCAGTTAAATCAGACACATTACCATTAGAGGTTTACAGTGTCCCAAGATCAAGGATCAATACATCATGTTTATACGAGGGAATCATTTAAAAAGGACAGTTATCCAAGGAAAATATATATATTGCAGAAAAACACAATTCTGCAGATGCAACAGATCTAAAATAAAAGCTGAAAGATTCAGCAGACCAGGCAGCATCAGCAAACAAAGGAGGAATTAGCTTTACAGGTCAATTACCCTTTATTTGAATTCTGTTCATTTGCACATTACTACTACCATTGTAACTCAAAACAAGTTTAGTTATTCTATCAACATAGCGTTTATTAAAAACAATAGACTACAAAAGACAAAGCTAAAACACTACAGGATGGTCACACACACAGGATCTTAGAAACAAAATACAGTCAATTTCACTTCGGTTAAAATTTATTTCTAATATTATGTTGTTTCTAAGATTGTTTGCTTATGTTATTCTTATTTGCTTAACATTCTTCCATTGTGTTTGCTTCGGGGAAGACTGGATGGAGCATAGAATCAGAGAATGATTACTGCACAGGAGGCTATTCAGCCTGATGTGTCTATTCTGGCCCTCTGAAGGAGCAATTCACTCAGAGTTACTTCTCTGCATTTTCCTATCCTCCTGAAAAAATTCCCTTTTCAGATAATGATCCAATTTCCTTTTCAAAGCTTCAACTGAATCATTCTCATGAATCTTTTCAGTATTGTCTGTAATGTCTTCACATTCTTTCTGAAGAGTGGTGCCCAGAACCAGGTGCAATACTCCAGTTGACAGTAAACTAGTGTTTTAAACAGATTTAACATGTCTGGAATGATCTGCTGCTAATCTGGTTTGACCTTTGCACTGGTCCTCCAGATTGCTGTTGCTGCTTCAAAACTAATTAAGTTAATTTTTCGCTGTAAATTTTAAGTACCAGGTCAGTAATTACTACAGGTAGAATTGTCCTACCTGATTTTCCATGTCTTGTAAATATGATGTAAAAAAAGGCTGTTGACATTACCTGTCTAGCTTTAGTATATGTGCAAGTAATGATGTATCAATGCAAATGTTACTCTTGAATTTGTACTCGATAGGGAAAAGAACCATTTCCATGTTTTACTCTCTGCAATACTTTTTTCTCTTACTTCACAGAATAATGGCCACTATTTTTAAAAAATTGTTCTTGGAATGCGGCTGGATTTATTGCCCATCCCTTGTTGCTTTAGCTTTCCTACATTTGTCAAGAACAAGGTTAGTAGGTGTGAATTGGATTATTATGATTTGAGCATGGCAAATATTGATGATTTTGCTCTCTGAAACCATTCCCCTCTTCTGTCACAAGCCCCCTTATGATATCCAAAGGTTCAGCTGTGAGATGAGCTGCAGTCCTGTACATGTTGGTGTTTCCACTTCGAAGACATACTTTTAAGTTGGGAAGTATAGGTTTGCTGATGAACATTTATGGACTTCTGTGAATTGACTGTATTTTCCAGACAATGATTTTTTTTATTGACCTGAACCAATGAATTCACCCCTATAAAGGGCTCATTGGTTGAAAGCTTCTGAACTTACATCATTCCAAAAGTCAACCAATGAAGAAGAAGAAGAAGACAGAGAATCCTATCCCAATAGTGAAACAGAAGCATTAGACAGTGTGGAGAGGGGAAAGAAATTAGATTAAAAATGATCAATTAATATTTTAGAGCTAACTTATTAACAACGTCACTCATTCATTCAGCAACTCAGCAACAACAATTAACCGAGTAAAGTAAACACCAAAAAGGGAGTTTTCGGAAAGGGGAAAACAGAATTGCACACAAACATAGTAAGTGATTATATAATTTATTTTACTCACTTCAAATTGATCCAGAGGAGAGGCAGGTGTATTCAAAAATGCCAAGAAAGAATTCTGTGAGTCTTGGTGCTTTACACCTAGAAAAACAGCAGCAAGTTCTTTTAAACTCAAGGAAATATTTATCCTGCACTTCTTCTGGAGGACCAATCTGCCTGCACAAGGGGGAGTGAACACCATAACATGTTTGAGGTGTTTTTTTTTTAAAGAGATAACTCTACATGTAAACATCAATTACTGCAAAATATCACCCCTCCACAAGAAAACAAAACTTTAAAATGCTCATAAACAATAATTAAGTCTAACTGTAACATTTTAACACTGAATAGACCCTTCTTCCATTCTGAGAAGGGGTGATGGATGACTATTTCCGCAAATCCAGGATCACTGCAGATTAGAATCAGATCTTTATCAAAAAGATTGTCATAAAACTTATATAATCTGAAATACGCACCTGTCACAGATTTGCTAGCCAAGGGAAAAACTTGAGGATTAAAATGCAATATTACAAAGTAAATAATAGGGTCCAATTCATGAATATAGCTGAAGAAAGAGCCACGTTGTCACATAAGTTATATGAATCATTGTGATTATTTGAAATTTGTTTGGCCTGCTGAGTGCAAAACAAATACTTTGATAAAATGTCTCTCTTCAGCGATATTGAAGCTCCACTTCCCAAAACATGTCATTTTCACAAACAAACATTTGAATGTACAAATTAGGAGTGGTAGTAGGCCAATCAAACACTTCATGCCTGCTTCACCATTTAATAAGTTGATGGCTGATGTGATTTCTCCACATTCCCAGTTGCCCCCAGTAACCTTTAACCCCCTTGTTCACTAAGAATCTAACTCTACCTTAAAAATATTCAAAGACTCTGCTTTCATTGCCTTTTGAAGAAGAATGGTCCAAAGACTCACAACCATCTGTAAGAATATTTTTCCTTGTCTCTGTCTTAAATGCTTACTTTTAAACAGTGATCTGTCATTCTAGGCTCTCCCATGAAAGTAAACATTCTTTTCACATCTAACCTGCCAAACTCCTCAATGAAATTGCTTCTTATTCTTCTAAATTCCAGCAGACACACACCCAGCCAGCCCAAACTTCCCTCATAAAGCAACACACCCATTTCGGGTATCAGTTTAATAAACTTCTTCCAAACTGCTTCCATCGCATTTATATGCTTTCTTAAATAAAAAGACTAATATTGTACTCCAGATATGGTTTCACCAGCACTCTGTATAACTGAAGCGTAACCTCCTTACTTGTACATTCAATTCTCCTCACAATAAACAATAACATTCCATTAGCTTTCATGATTACTTGCTGTACCTGCATACTAGTCTTCTGCAATTCATGCACTAGGAAGACTAGATCCCTCTGTATGCCAGAACTTGGCAATCTCTCATCATTTTGATAATATGACTTTTTTTTGTCAAAATCGACAATTTCATTTTTTTCCTACTTTATACTCTATTTGTCAGATCTTTGCCCACTCACTAAACCTTTGTAGCGTCCTTATGTCCTCCTCACAACTTACTCTCCTACCCACCCTTGGGTCAACTGCAAATTTAGCAACCATAATTTTGGTTTCTTCATTATACAAGTTATAAAATGTTTAGGATCCAACACTGAGTCATGTGATCATAAGACACAAAAGCAGAAGTAGGCTATTCAGCCCACTGAGTCAATAATGTGGAACTCCAAAAGGACATGGACAAGATAGTAGAGTGGATGGATAGGTGGCACATGAGGTTCAATGCAGAAAAGTGTAAGGTGACTTTGTTTGGAAGAACAGTGAAAAACAATATAAAATAGGGGGTATGTTATATTTCAAGAAGGACTAGGAGCCGCAGCAGTTAAAACAACAAGATTTTTAAAATGGACTTTTTTTAAGAACTTTTTTTTTAAGGGTCTACAGTGAATGGCTAAGGTTTGTTTTTATTCTTAATTCAGAAATTAGAAAAATTCTATATCTGTTTTAGAGGGTTTATTTTTACACTGTAAAGGCTTTTTTTGAAAAAAACTGAAGAGTTTTTTAAAAATAAGGAGTTGTGTTTTTGTTCCGCAGAGTCCTGCACGTGGTCAGCTCTGGAGAAGACTTTTCTTCTTCGATGAATTTATTGAAAAGTAATGGTTTTTTCAGTTAATCAGCTGAGTAGTTGATTTTATTTAATTTTTATATGTTTGATATATATTTAATTTTATTCCACTTTAACATTATTTTATGCAGTAAATGAAAAGTAGTTTATTTTATATATATATATAAGGTGTTATTGAAACATCCTTTATTTTAGGCTTAATGTTATTAAGGCCATATATAATGTAGACAGTGAGATGGCTAGTAGATTTAGTAAAGTTATTGCCCAGCAGGATCAGTCGGATAGATGGGTGACTGTCAGGGAAGGTAGTTCAAAAGTCTCCAGTGGCTCTTCCTCTATCAAATAAATATTCAGTTTTTGGAACAGTTGAAGGGGATAGTCTCTCTGCTGAAATTGGAGCAGCAAGTCAGTTATTGGACACTTGGAACGATTTTTATGTTAGACAGCGTTTGACAAAATTTAATTGAATTATTGTTATAGGGGAATCTCTTGTCAGGGGTTTGACAGGCAATTCTGTGGCAGTGAGCATAAATTCAGGATGATTTGTTGCTTTCCGGTGCTAGGACATTTCTAAATGTTTCAAGCATATTGTTAAAGGTGAGATTGTGAAGCCAGAAATTATTGTACATATTGGTAGGAATGACATTTTCAGGGAAAAGATTAAAGCAGTACAAAGTGAATTTAAGAGATTAGGTAGAAGATTAAAAAATAAAACCTTAAAAGTAGTAATTTCTGGTTTACTCCCAATGCCAAACTCAAACAAAGCAAGGAAGAAAAGGTTAAAGGAGATAAATCAATGTCTGAAGAATTGGCATATTGTTCAGGGATTCAGGTTTTTGGACAATTGTAATGTTTTTTGGGATAGAAAAGACCTGTTCAAAAAGAATGGGTCTAACCTAAACTCAAGAGAGACCAATATCTTAGCAGGGAGGTTTGCTCATTCTATTAAGGGAGGCTTTATACTGCTAGAGAAGGCGAGTGGAGGAATTCTAACTAGCAGTGTAAATGGAAGGATTGACGGGGTAGGTTCTGAATGTGAGAAGAGCACATCAATTAGGAAAGAAAGACAAGAGAATCAGAGTATGGAGTAACTCTGAAGAATTAAACTGAATTTATTTCAATGCAAGGGGTCTTACGGGTAAGGCTGATAAACTCAGGGCATATTTAAGAGCATGGGATTGGGACAACATAGCTATTACAGAAACTTGGCTGAGAGATGGACAAGACTGGCTGCACAATGTTCCCGGTCTTAGGTGCTATAGGAAGGATAGAAAAGGAGGCAAGAAAGGAGGGAGATGGCATTTTTGATTAAGGAATACATTACTGCTGTAACTAGGGAAGATATTTCTGAAAAATTGTCCAGTGAAAATATATGAGTAGAAATTACAAGTAAGAAAAAAATCACTTTGAAGGGAGATCTCAGATATATGTAAGCATAAGGTTGTAATAATGGGGCATTTTAATTTTCCAAACATTGACTGGGGCTACCATAGTGTTAAAGGTTTGTATGGTGAAGAATTTGTCAAATGTGCTGAAGAAAATGAGCAAAACTAGACCTTGTTTTGGGCAATAAGGCAGGGCAGGTAACTGAAGTAATAATGGGGGAACACTCTGGGTCTAGCGATCATAATTCTATTAGTTTCAGAACGGCTATGGAAAAGGATAAGCCTTCCATAAACGTTAAAATTTTTAATTGGAATAAGGCAAATTTTAATGGTATGAGACAAGAACTTTCAGAAGTTGATTGGAGTAGAATGTTCACAGGTAAAAGGACGTCTGACAAGTCAGAAGCGATCACGAGTGTGATGGTGAGAGTTCAGAAGCATTTTGTTCCTGTTAGTGTGATTGGTAAAGATGGTAAGATTAGGGAGCAATAGATGAATAAAGATATTGAGGTTTTAATCAAGAATAAAAGGGATTTTTTTTTGAAGTATAGACAACGTGGTTCAATTAAATCTCTTAATCAATATAAAGAGTATGGGGCATTCTTAAGACAGAAATCAGGAAGGCAAAAAGGGAATATGAGAAAGCACTGGCAGATAAGGTCAAGGATAATCCCAAAGAGATTCTACAAATACATTAAGAGTAAAAGGGTAACTAGAGAGAGGGTAGGGCCTCTTAAAGATCAAGGAGGTTGTCTTTGTGTTGAACTCCAGGAGATAGGAGAGATATTAAATGAATATTTCATGTCAGTTTTTACTGTGGAGAAAGAAATGGAGTCTAGAGAATGCAGAGAAATTAACTTTGATGTTTTAAAAACAGTTCACATTACAGAAGAAGAATTCAGGAGGTTTTAGAGAATATAAAGGTGGATAAATCTCTGAGACTTGATCTAATGTAGCCCAGAATGTTGTGGGAAGTAAGGGAGGAAATTACGAGACCCCTTACAGAAATATTTGCATCATCTATAACTATGTGTGAGGTGCCTGATGACTGGAGGGTGGCTAATGTTGTACCTTTGTGTAAGAAAGGTTGTAAGGAGAAACCGGGGAACTATGGACCTATAAGTCTGACTTCGGTTGTGGGTAAATTGTTGGAGATGATTATAAAAGACAGGATTTATGGACATTTAGAGAGGCAAAAAATAATTAGGGATATTCAGCATGGTTGTGTGTGAGGAAAATCATGTCTCACAAACTTGATTGAGTTTTCTGAGGAAGTTACTAAAAAGGTTGATGATGACAGAGCAGTAGACTTTGTTTTTTTGGATTTTAGTAAAGCCTTTGACAAGCTTCTGCATGGTAGACTAATTAAGAAAGTTAGTCACATGGGATTCAGGGTGAGCTTGATAATTAGATACATAATTGGCTTAACAGCAGCAGATAGAGACTAATAGTGGAGAGTTTCAGGGTTTCAACCCAAAAGGTTGACTTTCCTGCTCCTCACATGTGATCTGACTGGCTGTGCTTTTCTAGCACCACATTTATTGACTCAAACTTCCAACATCTGTACCAAAAGGGCATTAACTTTCAAGGAAGCACTGGTTTGTTGCCCTCCAATGTCACAAGTGCATTTTCCACTATTGTCTTATTCAAGTTTTTGAATAATGAGCACAATGCTTTATTTCATACTTGGCGCTAGGTTGAAGGAGAGTGGATCCTTTTGCCTACTGTATTGCTGTATCTGATCTGTTAATTTCACAATGCCGATGAGCTTCATCATCCTTAAGCTTTTACTTCAAGGTTGTAGTCAAAGCTCCAATGTCGCAGGTGTAGTAGTCACGGTCGATCTTCTCGAGTAGATTACTTGGAAGGCTTAGTAAAGTGTCATCCTGGTTCAATTCATATTTGGTTTGATTTCTTAGAATCCCTGGACACTATGGACAATTTAGCATGGCCAATTCACCTCACTTGCGCAGTTTTAGACTGTGGAGGAAACCAGAGCACCCAGTGGAAACCCATGCAGACAAAGTGAGCATGTACAAACACCACAGTCACCTGAGGGTGGAACTGAACCCACGTCCCTGGTGCTGTGAGGCAGCAGTGCTAACCACTGAGCCACCGTGCCACCTGATTTCTGCCTTGGCCTGTGGTTTGATTGCATATAGCACTGATCTAACCTTGCCACATTTTACTTGATTCTCATCCTTGATTATCAATTTGACAGAGATCTTTTTCATGCTTCCCAGATTTCCATTTAAAACAATGGTATGTTTCTTTAGCATTTGTGACAGATCAGTCTCAGAATCTCACAAGCGATTTACTTCAGTCCAATTGGGTTCAATTTTCTCCAACAATGTTCTTCCTAATAAAGCTGGAAAATTTCCTTTGGAAATATACAAGGTCAAATCTTCAGGTGACTGTATAACTCAACATTCATTGATACAATACCTTAAAGCCACCACTTTGCTGGTGTACATTCTTAGTACAATTTTTGAGGGTTGCAGCACAATGTGACTCAGTTGCTTCGATTACACAATTTTAGATATTAATGAAACCGCTGCTCTGGTGTCCATCTCCATTCTTAAGGGTTTGCCATTCAGTACCCAGTATCGGTTGGTGTCACTAGCAATGGCCAGTGTGTTTAATAACAGCTCCTCTTCAGACTATAAGTCTATGTTTTTCTCATGCTGTTTTAGTAACATGTATATTTTCTTCCAACTGTTTGGTTTCTGTAACTTTCCTGTGTCTTGTTTGTGGTTCTTCCTCAAACATGCCTGTTCAATGTGTCATTTTTTTGCCACAGTTTCTTCATACAACTTCTTTCTACGAGCAAATTTTTGCTTTGTGACTTGTTTTTCCATACTGTTGGCAGTTTTGAGTCTGCATTGGTGCTCGTATGTCAGCCAACATTTTGTGAACTCAGCCTTCGTTTTGTATGTCCTCATGCCTGAACTTAGCTTTGGGCCTTCTTGGTTGCCAGTTCCACTGAGACCGCTATTTCAAGTGCCTTCTTTAAGTCTTAGTTCCTTTCTGTCTGAAGTAACCGCTTCTGGATTTCTTCACTTCTTAAACCACACACCAGTCTGCCTCTGTTGGCATCATTTACGTTGCTAACAAACTAGTAGCTTTCTGCAAGCGTCTCTATCTTTGGTACAAACTAGGAGACAGACTCACCATGACACTGGTAGTGTTTGTGGAATCTGAACCTTTCATTGATTGATTGATTGATTGTTGTCACACGTAGCGAGATACAGTGAAAAGTGTTGTTTTGCGTGCTCTACAGGCAAAACATATATAAAGTGCATCAGGGTGGCAGAACAGAACAGATTGCCGAATACAGTGTTACAGCTGCAAAGAAGGTGGAGAGAGAGTGTAAGAGAGAGAGAGAGAGATTATAATTAACATTTGAAAGGTCCATTCAAAAGTCTGATAACAGCAGGGAGCAAGCCGCTCTTCAATCTATTCATATGCGTATTCGAATTTTTATATCTTCTGCCTGATGGAAAAGGGTGGAAGAGAGTATAACTGGGATGTGAGTCATCTTTGATTATGTTGGTTGCTTTCCTGAGGCAGCGGGAAGTATAGATGGAGTCAATGGATGAAAGGCTGGTTTGCCTGAGGGACTGGGCTGTGTTCATGACTCTGTAGTTTTGTGTGGTTTCTGGAAGAGCAGTTGCCATATCAAGCTGTGATGCATTCAGATAGAATGTTTTCTATTGTGCATCTATAAAAATTGGTAAGAGTTCTTGTGGACATGCCAAATCGCCTTAGCCTCCTGAGAAAGTAGAGATGTTGTTGTGCAAGTAACATTCGAGCAACACAAGCACCAGGTGATAACCATCTCCAATAACCATTTCCTGTTGGTATTCAATGCTGTTACTATTGTTAAATCCCTAAGCATCATTGTCCTGGGGGTTACCATTGGCTGGAAACCAAACTAGACCAACCATATAAATACCGTGGCTACAAGAGCAGATCAATGGCTAGGAACCCTCAGCAAATAATTCACTTCCTGTCTCCCCTAAGCCTATCTACCTCCATAAGATGCAATTCACACTGTAATGGAATAATCTCCACTTGCCTGATGAGTGCAGCTCCAACAATATTCAAGACATTTGTCACCACACAAGTCAAAGCAGCCAGCTTGATTAGCACCACATCCACAAACATCTACTTCCTTTACCACCAAACATTAATAGCAGTGTATACCATGGAAAGGATGCATTGCAGCATCTCACGAAGGCTCCTTAGACAGCACCTTCCAAACCTGTGATCAGTACCTTCAAAAAGGATAAGGCAGCAGATACATGGGAATGTCTACATCAGCAAATTCCCCTCCAAGCCACTCACCTTCCTTACTATCAGCGAAGCCCATATTTCACGAATTAATTAAAAAAAAATGGTTATATTGTTGGTAGCTACATGGACAATGATGACTTGATCCTCCCCTTCATTACTGCATGTTTCTCTCCAATCCTGAGCAAATGTCCCAGTTCTGAGGAAGGGTCAACGGTCTCGAAACATTAACTCTGTTTTCTCCTTCACAGATGCCGCCAGATCGGCTGAGCTTTTCCAGCAATTTCAGTTTTGTTTCCTGATTTACAGCATCCACAGTTCTTTCATTTTTTTACTAAATCAGAATACTCTATCCTAAAGGATGTGACAGTCTTCTGGAATGATTTGTCCAGGTAAGTGAACTCCTCTTTAATGTGTTGCAGTGTTCATAGAGTGAGTGGTGGCTGCTTAAGCTGTGAATGCTTATTGCAGTTGCATTTGCCCTGGATCATACTGGCTCTCACATTCTACTGCCTTGGCACACAATCTGTCTGCAATCCTTAATCTTTCAATTAACTACTGCATTATTTAATTTAATTGCTTATTTTCCTTTTGTTATGCAAGGGAGCACTTCCTTCCCTAAAATTTGTCATGCATCTGCCGGTAGAGGTTCAAATTGCAAGAGATATCTCTAATTATATCCTCTTAATTAGTGAATCCCCAGGCACAGGGGGGAAAAATGACAAAGACCATACGAAACTAAGTAACAAAATTAGATATTTAGAGAGAGATCAAGAATTCCCTTACTCATCTAAAAGTCACACTTAGTGCTGACTTTACTGCACAGGGGGAAGGAATTAAATGATAAACAGGTGCTAATTTGACAGGGTACATTCAAACTTCATTAGGATCACACTGATACAGTCGCGAAGTGTTGAGGCAGCCAAAAAATGAGAATAATTGAGATAACAAGGTGTAGAGCTGGATGAACACAGCAGGCCAAGCAGCATCACAGGAGCAGGAAGGCTGATGTTTCGGGCCTAGACTCTTCTTCAGAAACCCTTTCTGAAGAAGGGTCGAGGCCCGATACATCAGCCTTCCTGCTCCTCTGATGCTGCTTGGCCTG